CGAACACTCACAGCTTCACGACATTCTCCACCACAGCCGCCATCTTCCCAGTTCCTCTCCCTCAGGCCGGGAGGCCCCTGAAGCTCGCAACGCGCAGGCGCTAAGCCTTCTCAGGACACTCGGTCCTCCACCCTCTGCGCAGGCGCAGCCCGAGGGTGCGCGCACGCACCGGCCCACGGGAGCGAGCTCCGGGGAGCGAGCGTCGGGGAGCCCAGGAAACGCAGTGCGCAGGCGCGGCTGGGGAAGTACGCGCTCAGCTGCTCAGCCTGGGGACCCGCGTCCTCCGCTCAGCGGAGCCTCAGAAGGGAGGTCTGGCTAGGTTGGAAAATGCGAAAGGTAAAGCGGAAAAAGGCCACGGAGGTGGGCTAGAAGGGGCACCAGTGTCCTGCCTAGCTGACCGTTAGCCACAGGGTTGACTGGTAGGGTAGAGAAAGGTCAGAGAAGAGGTACCCAGTCCCAAACGTCAACCCATCTTAGAGAATGGAAAATAAACGCCTAGAATAGGCTGTTTTTGGTCTGACTCTTGCGTCCGGACAATGGCCATACCTTTCTGGCAGTACACCTAATCCTTGGTACCTAGTCACTGGTACCTATCTCTTCTCTCTTACGTGCTACCCTTTTTGTTGTTGTTAACGTTTTGTTTATTTGTATGTGCATTGGTGTTTTGTCTGCTTTTATGTCTACGTGAGGGTGTCAGATCCCGGAGTTACAGTAGTGAGTTGCCATGTGGGTGCTGGGAATTGAACCCCGGTCCTCTGGAAGAGCAGTCAGTACTTTTAACCATTGAGCCAACTCTCCAGCTCCGCGTGATACTCTTAAACTTAAAAAAAAAAAAAAAAAGAAAATCGTTCCTTTGGTGTGTGTGTGTGCATGTAAACATGCCGTATGTGTAGGGGTCAGAGAGCAACTTGAAGGAGTCTGTTCTTTCCTTCCACTTTGTGGGTGCTGGTCAGGTTGTCAGGTTCAGAGACAAGGGCCCTGAACCGCTGACCCATGCCCCCAGCCCTTTGCTTGTTTCTAAGCACATTCCCGACACTGAAAATACTCCCTCGTGTGACTCTCCCTCTTAGTTTGATACAGTTTATTACTTCTTCAGTGTCAAGTTATACAAATCCATGAACAAAGGTGTTTCTTCTTTAAAAATAAATCAAAAGGACTCCCTTAAGCCCATCTGCATCCCGTTGTGACCCCATTTCTTTAAACTCTTTCAAAGCAGACTCGCCCTTTGTATTCTGTACTGCGTTGTTTCCAAGCCTCCCTTCTGCTTACTGAGTGATTCTGTTCCCACCAGACCTTTGGAAATAGCTCCTACCAAAGTCACCGTAACCTCTGTCTCAGTAGATTTAGAGACCCACCCTGATCCTGCCAACCCATATGGACCACTGACTGTTGCCTCCTTGTCCTCCTACACCCGATACTCCTTCCTTCCCCGTCCATTCAGCCTTTATCTAAGTCCTCAGAGCTTTCTCCTTGTCGGTCTCTCTGCCACTCCTTATATCTCCAAATCCAAGAAGCACGTATACCCCAGCCTGATTATTTTGATATTTTAGAATCAGTACACGTTTTATCATGGCTATACTCACCTTAAAATTGTTTTGGACAGGGGCTAGAGAGATGGCTCAGTGGTCGAGAGCACTGTCTGCTCTTCTAAAGGACCAGGGTTCAATTCCCAGGACCCACATGGCAGCTCACAACTGTCTGTAATGCAAATCCCAAGGGATCTGACACCTTCACACTAATGCACATAAAATTAAATAATTAAAAAAAATAATGACCTTTAAAGAATCATTTTAGACACGTGAGAATCATGAGATAGTTCTTATTGTGTTCCCTGCGCCAGCATTAAAACTTTCAGGTTTGATGCCAGCAGCCTGGAAGGAAAACTCAGAAAATACACACACACACACACACACACACACATACAGATGGAGAGCGACCCCTAGTGTTGAACTCTGGCTTGTACATGCACACATACATGTACACATGCACACACGTACATTTCCTCAGAAGCTGGGCATGGTGGCATAGACCTGTAATCCCAGTATTTAGGATTGCCACACATTCCAGGCCACCAGGGCTACACAGAAAACCTGAAGGACATCAGCAACAACAGAACTTTCCAGAGCCTGCACAGAGGCTCAGAACTGCCCATCACTCCAGCTCCAGGGCCCAACACTCTCTTTTGATCTACTATGGGGGCCCCTGGCTCACTGGGACCCCAGAGCTTACACCTGGCTACCGACCCTATGGAGTGTCAGCCACAGACCCTGGCAGAGCCTGCGAGGTGCAGAGTACAGGGAGCTAAGGGCCATTTCATTTTCTCTCCTGCAGCCTCAGTGCTGAGGTAGGCCTCTCTTCTGTTTGGGAGGGAGTGCAAGAAAGGTACCAACCTTATATCCTTTCTCATCCAGCCTTACTCTAGACCTGGGCAGAGGCTAGAGGAGCCACAGAAAAAGGACATCATTGTCTTGACTTTCCAGGCCCATGTGTCAGACACCAGCCACCTGTGGGTGTTAGAGTGATAACCTGAGGTTTTGGACTCACGGAGCTCAGGCACCTCCTTACACTGAGGTAGTTAGAAATAGAAGCAATGGCCTCCCTTTGTTAGCACCATGTCCCTCAAATACCATCATCAAAAGAAAGTCCCAAAGTACAAAGAGGCACTTATTGGACAGCAAACGATGTCAAGCGTCCCTACACTATACTGTCGTTTAAATTTTTTTATTTGTATTGGGCTTTCGGTTGTTTGTTTGTTTGTTTTTGTTTTTGAGACAGGGACAGCCCTGGCTGTCCTGGAACTCACTTTGTAGACTAGGTTGTCTTCAAATTCACAGAGATCTACCAGCCTCTGCGTCCCAAGTGCTAGGATTAAAGGCATGTACCACCATGCCTTACCTTCATTTTATTGGTTTTGTTCTGGTTTTCTTTATTTGAGGCAAGATTTCTCTGTGTAGACTTGGCTATCCTAGAACACAAGGAGACAAGGCTGGACTCAGAGATCTGTCTGCCTCTGCCTCTCAAGTGCCAGGATTAAAGGTGTGTGCAGAGTGGTGGTAGTGAGCGCCTTTAATCCCAGCACTCTGAAGGAAGAAGCAGGCAGATCTCTGTGACTTTGAGGCCAGCCTCATCTACAGAGTGACTTCCAGGGCAGCCATGGCTACACAGAGAAACCCTGTCTCAATAAACAAACAAACAAACAAACAAACAGATAAAGGCGTGTGCACCACTACCAGGCACTTAGTGTTTTTTGTTGTTGTTTTAAAGATTTACTTTGTGTATGTGAGTGTATTCCATATGTGCCCTCTGGAAAAGCAGCAACAACTCTTTGTTTTCTTTTTCGAGACAGGGTTTCTCTGTGTAGCCTTGGCTGTCCTGAATTTGCTTTGTAGACCAGGCTGGCCTCAAACTCACAGAGATCTGCTTGCCTCTGCCTCCCTGAGTGCTGGGATTACTCACCTGGCTTTTAAAGATTTATTTATTTGTTTTGCATGAGTGCTCTATCTGCATGTACACCTGCACGCCAGAAGAGGGCGTCAGCTCCCAGTATAGATGGTTGTGAGCCACCATGTGGTTGCTGGGACCTCTGGAAAAGCAGGCAGTGCTCTTAAATGCTGAGCCATTTCTCCAGCCCCACAGCAAAACCTCTTAACCACTGAGACGTCTGTCTAGTCCTCGGGTGCAGTGTTTTGTTTTGTTTTGTTTTTATTTTTTAACTTTCATTTTATGTGTATGTTTTGTGTATATTTTATGTTTTTATGTTTTGTTTGCAGATATGTCTGTGCACCACATATGTGCTTGGTATTGGGGAGGGGGGATTGGATAGGACAGGACATCAGATCCCCTGGAACTGAAGTTACAGAAGGTTGTGGGAATTGAACCTCGGGTCTTCTGGAAGAGCAGCCAATTCTCTTAACCACTGAGCGCTCTCTCTAGTCCCTGCAATTTTTAAAAAGAATATTGACCTACAGTTGGCTGAATTTGTGAATGTAGAACCCATAGAGAGGTAGATACATAGGGCCAATTGTATATTGCATCTCTCTTTTTGTCAGAAAACAGTTTTATTAATATGATATCCACTCCTAAGTACAGAATTTTTCTTTATTGCTGTGGCCATTCCTTTACCAGCTCGTCTCAATCCTTTGCAATATAAAAATTATGTTACAGCATTAGTTGAAGGGCAGAGATGTTGGTAGAATGCTAACCTAGCATGCAAGAAGTCCTGGGTTCAGGCCACAGAGCCACATAGCTGCACCCAGTCCCTCTGTAAGAGAGCCCTCATTCTTACGTAGTAAGCCATCTCTCCAGCCCCTCCCAGCCAAACACCCAAACCACTGTCTGATGTACGCCACTGACACTCAGTTTGGGTGGTAGTTAATCTTGGTGGTCAACTTGATGAGATCAGAATCACCTCGGAAACACTCTGGGGGCGTCTGTGAAGGAACTTCTACATCTAGTAAATGGTGGAAAGACCGGGCCCCTGAAGCCGGGCGGCGGTTGTACACGCCTTTAATCCCAGCACTCAGTAGACAAAAGCAGGTGGACCTCTTAAGTTTGAGGTCAGCCTGGTCTACAATGTGAGTTCCAGGATAGATAGGGCTACACAGAGAAACCCTGTGTGGAAAAACCGTGGATGGGGGTCCCAGACTGAATAAAAGAGAAAGTGGGTGGGGCACCTACATTCATTGCTTGTGGCTTCCTGACTGTGGACACAAGCTGGCCAGCTGCCTCAAGGTCCTACTCTCAGGACTCAGCATAAAGGACTGTACTATAGCCAGGAACTAGGAACCAAGAGGAACCTTCTCCCCGGAAGCTGTTCTTGTCAGGTAGTTTGTCACCACAACAAAGTAACCAAAGCCGGTTATTCTGTTTCCTTCTGGCTGTGGGTGCAGAATTAAGAACAGCCCGTTGAAGGGAAGGCCCGGCCTCTATGGAATCCTCCCATGTGAGCCCACTGTCCACGGAGTCTGGCCCATCTTCAGAAGGAAACACCAGGACGAGGGTACGGGATGCTCAGCTACCAGCAGCAGCATGTTTTATTGCAACCAGAATCCCCCGGTCATGTGAGGAGGGGACAGGATGGGTCATAAGGCAGGACAGGTCTGGTTATGGATGCCATGCTCCCAGACCAAGACACAAGAACACATGGGAAGGGTATCCAATGATGCTGAGGTGAAGGGTGGTTGGGAAGGGGGTAGGGTCCATTTCGGCAGAGCCTTTCCCCGGAGGGGCTTGAGGGAAAGGGGGCAATTGGCAGTGAGGGTCCAAATGACCCAAGAGTCTCAGGAGTCTCTGGGACAGCGTCTGCATGGGTCCCCCGTGGGTACTGTGAGATGAAAGCAAAGATACACTCTCTCCATTGGGAGGTGGGAAGAAGACAAAGGCTCAAAATGCCAGCCACTGGCCAGCACCCACAGGTGGAACCTGGGGTCCTGACTCAGGGCTACATCCACACATGTCTCTAGGCATCACCACAGCCTGGATGACCTGCCCGGTTAGCCAAGGGTCCTATGTGGGGATCTGTACACGGCCTAGGTCCTGATCCATAATCTGGAGGACATCATCCAGGATAGAAGGCCCCAGGTCCACATGCAGGGACAGCAGGGAGCTCGCATGGGACAGGAAGGGCTCCTCGGCCTCTGGGTCAGGGCTCATCCCATTGTGGGGCAAGCCAGCCTCTGGAATCCTCCAGACGTCCACATTTCCTGCCTCCGGCAGGGAGGACTTTGGAGAAGGCTGTGGTGACTCCAGGTGCAAGCGAGGGGGCTTAGGTGGAGCCTGGGCTGTGGGCAAGGTGAGGGCCTGGGGGCCACCAATGACAGGAAGGGAGATGGCGTTTTTGAGCAGAGGCGACAGGCCATCAGGGAGCTCTCGCCCGCACACCGTGGCAGTGCGAGTAAACTGGAAGGGAAGGTCAAAGCTGCCGTCCTCCTCGGCCTCCTCCGCAGCTGTTCCCGGAAGGAGATGGAGCTTGCCCTGCAGAAAGGAGATGTCCCCAAACATGTCGTCACCGCCGCCACTGCCGATGTGAATAGTGTGACGGAAGTCCCCAAGCGGCGGGCTGATCATGTCTGAGGACAGCAGGTCCCGAAGCTTCTCTTTCTTGCCTTTGCGGCTGCCACGTTTCAGATAGATGGGGACCTTGGTGGACATGGTGACTTCAGCACACAGGCCTCAGTACCCTCCCAATACCTTCTGCCCACACTGGCTCCGGGGTGGGGGGCTGATGGCCACGCTTGTCAAAAACCAAAGATTAGAGGGCAAAATGTGATCTGAGTTGGCCCAAAGAATTAGAAAAAGTTAGGTTAAAGACCAGCAAGGACAGGGTGCGTGAATACACCCCACTTCCTCCCCAAATGGATGAAAGTCTTTTTGGAGAACTGGAGGCAGAACGGTGAGGTCTCGTCAGTAGCGATGTGATGTGTTTTGCTCTTGTTTTGAGATTCTCCCTTTAGTCCGGTGTTGAGAAGCTGAAATGAAGGAACATATAAATCAGGGACAGGAAGACCACAGACAAGACACCTGTTAAGTTGAAGTGAGGTGCATGCCAATAATCCCGACACTCAAGAGGCACAGACGGAAGGATCAGGAGTTCAAGGCCAGCCTAGGCTACATGAGACCCTGCCTCAGGACAAATGCACAACAAAAAGATTTGGGGGCATAGCTCAGTTCCTGTGTGCAGGCCGCCCAAGTTTAGTCCCCGGCACTACGAGAATGCATTCGTGGTAGTGAAGCCGGTATTGTCAGCACTTGAAAGGTAGAGGCAAGGAGATCAGGAGAACAAGGCCATCCTTGGCTACATGCCAACTTCTGACTGTGAAGCCAGCCTCAGATACACAGGGCCTTGTCTTAAAAAATGGGGACAAGGACATGAAGGGGAATGGGCGGGCGAGGTGGCTTGGCAGGTGAGAGCACTTGCTGTGAAAGCCTGAAGACCTGAGTTTGAGCTGCAGAACCCACAGCAGGAGAGAACGAGTCCCGAGAGCTGTTCCCTGACCTCCCTGTGCAAGCTGTGGCATGTGCCCTCACCCACAAACACACAACGACAATAAAAATAACTTTGAAAAAGTCAACTCTTGTGTGGGGCTTGGTGAATCAGACCTTTAATCCTAGCAGGAGAAAGGCAGAGGCAGGTAGATCTCTGACTTTGAGGCCAGCCTGCCTGGTATACGTAGGGAGACTCTATCTTGAAGAATGGAAAAAAAAAAAAAAAAGACATCTCTCTTAGTTTACTTTTTCATTTTTGTTCTCCCTGTATCAACACTGTCTTTAGGGAACATCCAATAGGAAGTATACATCTTCCCAGGCCCAAGGTGTCTTAAAGAATACTGCTAAGCCTTCCCGTTCCCTTGGGAGGCAAAGGCAGGCAGATCTCTGTGAGTTCTCGGTCTGCCTGGTCTACAGAGCGAGTCCAGGACAGCCCAGAGAAACCCTGTCTTGAAAAAACAAAAACCAAACAAACAAACTACAAAGCACCACACCCCTTCCCAAGTGTCTTTTGAGAGAAAACGGAGGCCCAGAATCTAAATGATAGCTCTTTAGACCCCCACAAACCACAAACTCCAGGGCCTGGTCCCTGGCTCTTATTGCTTCTGCCCGGGCATTCACTCTCATACCTGACCTCCATCAGCAATGCGCTGCCACAAGGAAGGGCCACATTGTGTGTGAGTCTCAATTGCTCTAATTCCCTATTCAACTAAGGATGGAGGCTTTGGAAACTGCCTCTGTTGCCCAGGCTTGCTGCGGAGCTGGGAACACAGGCGTCTAGTCAACAATGCTAAATGGCCACTGCCTCACGCTGGAACCATCTCTTCCCACTTGGAGGTTTCCTTTATCTCCTCCCTCAGGTCAGGTCCTTATCAGCCAGGCTGGGTCTGATGGTATCTGTCTGACCTTCCTCCCAGTCCCTGCACTGAGATGGAGCTGGGCATACAAAAGCTTTTTGGGTGGTTGGTATTCTTCTGAGAGCTTCGCAAATAACACATGCTATCACAAAACTCCTATGACCCCCATTTGAACCTTAAAACCCTCGGGCGGCTGCCACGGAGCTCCTGGCAGAGGCCATGCCAGCTGGAGAAGCAAAATGAAACAAGTGAGAAGCACCGGACACATTTTGGGTTCCCACAATTCACTACGGAGAGAGGCAAGCAAAATGTGAAAACATGATCAAAAGGACGCCACTAATTTTTTTTTTTTTTTTAAGATTTATGTGTATCAGTGTTTTGCCTGCAGGTATGTAAGCGCACCACGTGCACAGCTGGTGCCCACAGATCAGAGGTGGGCATTGCGTGCCCTGAAACTGAAGTTACAGGTGGCTGTGAGCCACCGTGTGAGTGTTGGGAACCCAGCCTCTGCAAAAGCAAGTGTTCTTACCACCGAGCGACCTCTCCGGCCCCGAGAGGGTGCCCTTCATTAAAAGCATGGATTGCCAACGCACCTGCCACCCTCCGTCTCTATACGCCAGCCTGTGTGGAATCCTGTTTTGTTCTTCTTGTTGTTTCAAGACAGGGTAGCCTTGGCTGTCCTGGACTTGCTTTGTAGACAAGGCTAGCTTCCAACTCACAAGGACCCACCTGTCTCTGCCTCCTTGAGTGCTGGGGTTAAAGGTGTGTGCCACCATGCCCAGCTTCCTACCTTTCTTTTTAATGGTTTTTGTTTTGTTTGTTTGTTTGGTTTGTTTGTTTATTTATTTGTTTATTTATACATACATACATACATACATACATACATACATACAGTATTCTGCCTGCATGCCAGAAGAGGGCACCAGACTCATTATGGAATTAAACTCAGGACCTTTGGAAGAACAGCCAGTGCTCTTTGATCTCTGAGCCATCTCTCCAGCACTGTTTGTTTGTTTTTGAGACAGGGTTTCTCTGTGTAGCCCTGGCTCTCCTGGAATTCACTCTTCAGACTCAGAGAGCTGTGTGCCTCTGCCCCCTGAGTGCTGGGAATAAAGGTGTACCCCACCAACACCACCCAGCTTTTAACGTTTTTTTAAAAAAACTTTATTTTTATTTTATGAGTGTTCTGCCTACATGTGTGTCTGTACATTGAGTGTGTCAGACATCCTGGGACCGGAGTTACACAAAGTTGTGAGAGCTTCCATGTGGGTGATGAAAATTGAACCCATTTTCTCTGAAAGAGCAACCAGTGCTCTTAACCCCTGAGCCACCTCTCCAGCCCTCCCCATAAGGTCCTCTCTTAACAGAAGAAAGGATCAGGAAGGTCATGAAATGGGTGGAAAGAGAGGAGGTGTGTGGTCCTGCTTTGGAAGGAAAGGTGTTTTCAGGAAGTGGTCTGTTAACGCATTGCCCCATTGCTATAATAAAGTACAAGACACATGTCTGTGAAGGGGCGTTCGCCAAAATGCTGGTAGTGGTATAATTCCAGGCTGGCTTTTCCTTTCTTGTTTAGACCTTTTTTTCGAGGGACTGAGACTCACTGTGTAGCTGGATTGGCCTGGAGCTCAGAAATTTGTATCTGCCTCCAGGGTGTTGAGATTAAAGGTGAGTGCCACCACACCCAGATTCCTAAAATAATAATAATTATCAGTATTCAGTAGGGCCATTGAAGAGAGGACTTGGGTTTCCTCTCACATTATTCATAAGGCATCTGTAACTCTAGTTCCATGGGATCTGACGCCCTCTTCTGCACTCTATAGGTATCAAGCATAAACGAACACAAACACACATAGAGCCAAAAACACTCATACACACAAAATAAAATGAGAAATTCTTTTTTTTTTTTTTTTTTTGGTGTGTGTGTGTGTGTGTGTGTGTGTGTGAAAGGGTTTCTCTGGCTGTCTTGGAACTCACTCTATAGACCAGGCTGGCCTCAAACTCAGCCTGCCTCTGCTGGGGCTAAAGGCCTGCACCACCACCACCAGGCTCAAGAAATCAAAAAAGAAGAAGAAGGAGGAGGAGAAGGAGGAGGAGGAGGAGGAGGAGGAGGAGGAGGAGGAGGAGGAGGAGGAGGAGGAGGAGGAGGAGGAGAAGGAGAAGAAGAAGAAGAAGAAGAAGAAGAAGAAGAAGAAGAAGAAGAAG